AATCAACAATCCCATTCACAAGCTCGTGTCTGTCAGAGAACTTTTTAACAAAATCAGGCAAAAACCGATGTTGTAATAACATGCTTATTGTCACCCTGTAAAGTGTAACAACCAGGTTTAGCACCAGGAATACTATTATATTGTCATTGGTGTTTTAAAACAGTGAAGATTTATATGCTTCCCCCCCACAGGGCATGTTTTTCTGACAATAATAACTCATAAAGATGCAACAAAATACAGCTTGGTCATGTTAGAGTTTCCAAATTAGGAATTGAAAACGACCAACCTGTAAGGGAAGTCAAAACTAACCGAGTACTGTAATTTTGCTGATGCAGAATGATTCAGATCCTTCACTGTTACACAACTTGTATAAGATGAACAAAAGAAAGTACAGTGATGTGTGTGTGTGTGTGCGTGTGTGTGTGCAAAAACATTTGGTTATGTGGATTCTTCCCTTATCTATCAGAAAAAGCATGACCATACTGTAATATCATTCGCATGTGAGGCAGCATCACATGTGTTTGTGATCAATCTGTAAATCTTGTCAAGGCTTTTTAGAGGACATTTCTAGAATAATCAACATTTTTCCCTCTTGTTTACCAAACATATCCGTTGAGCTTGTAAAACAATATTCTGATGTTATGCACTGCGATGTCACATGAATCTGCTGCAAAAGATTTTTGGTTCTTTTTCTGGATGTGTAACAACTACTTGGTTGCAGCTACCTGACCAACCACTTGTTGTAAGTTGTAAGTTGTTTATACAAATTTGCCAAAAAATCTACTGAAACATATACAAACAAAAGAAAAGGGGAATATTTGATAAATGCATTAAAAGCAAAGCTCCAAAGAAATACATCGACTGCATGCATTTTCACCTGAAAACATCTGTTTAGTGGTGAGTGTTCTAGATCTGATGACTTATTGCTATCACAAATGATCCGTTTTTGACAACACAACAAATATATGGTGTGGAGAAAAAAAACCACACGAAATGCTTCAAACTATATTTAAGTGGTAATGGTTTGATGTGTGGATTACATTTGATTATAGCCTCACTCTCCAGTTTTTTATCTGTTAACAAGCAAGATAATCAAATGATGACAGGAATCCCGTGGGACCTGCTTTATATCTCCACAAAGCCGTCTACATGAAGAACACCAGAGGTACACAGAGTGACAGCAGAGTTACACTCAAATAAAATAAAACGGTCTCTCTGTCTTTGCTGATCCATTAAAACACCCTGGGCATTTGCTCAGACATTCCTCTAATGTTTTCAGCTTTTGGCAACTGTCTTCTTTCAAAATGACATTTCACATCATTTTTCTGCTTCAACTACTACCGGGCATCCCAGAGAGACGGAGGCCTTTTCACTGTCTTAGTAACTTCCTGACAGGCAGCACCGCTCTAATTATTGCACCAGCAGAGACCCTGGAGACTTATTGCATAACCTCATGTAGTCAAAGAGCCCCCAAGTTACACAAATCACCAACCTGCTTCACTGGAAACAATTTAAAGTGGTCCTTCATTTCAGCAGTGTTTAAAAAAAGCTCAGTGACAACCCCAGTGCTTTTGGGGATCCAGAAAAAGCGTATTTACTGAACACTTATTTACTTTAACGTGAAAATGTATCCAGCGTGTCCAGCGTCCCATTGACCTGCTTTGTAAGATCTATATCAAAGATGAATCCTATTTAAATGATCCGGATGCTTCCAGATAATCTTTCTTTTATTACTTTAAACCATTTATTGTCTTCTCAGGCAATTCCTTCATTTTATGTGGGATTTACAGCTGTGGAATTGCTTTTCAATCTCTAATGATACAAAGTACATCAACTGATCTTTACATGCTCTGCAATTTTTTATCTCATGTGAAGTAATTTTGCACACAGTAAGGGTAACGACATACAAGTGTCTAATTGATATAACAAGGGTCAAACCAACAACATATCTTTAGCATAAATAAGAGTGTCTGGCTGAGGTTTTAAAGAGCTATAAAACAAGTACTGATAGTGTAATCTAATCAGCACCAATATACAAGCCCAATTCAGATCTGGTTCGTTTAAAAAACAAAAAAACAAAACTTGGATCTGGCTAATGAAACAGTCAGGCATTTTACTTCTCATCTTTCAGACTGAGCTGTCTTAACTGCCAACTTCCTTTTTGTAAGAACGTGACAGAAGACTGAAGTTACTGCTCTGTGATGCTCATACAGAAATGTTCTAGGGGGTTGTAGGAAAATCCCGGGCGAGCGCTTGGTAGGTTACTCTCTTCACTCTCTTCTGTTTTCGCAAGTGAGGCTGAAGTTGACAGAAGTGTTATGTAACAGAAGGAAGCCGGCCGTGGAGCTGTCTGCCAGGGCCTTCAGAATTTATCTTATCAAAAACTGGATCCCACAAACAACATATTTTGGTTTTATCACAATGTAAGATACTGTAGCTCAACAAAAGCAGGACTGAAACATCACAGACGTAATCTGATTTAGCTGAACATCCAACATTTTGTACTGAGAAATTGTTTCAATCTTTGGCTCGACGTGTTTAGTTAAATAAGCGGAATGACCTACAGGTGCAACCCCTCGAGTCAAACTACAGCTGAAACGCAATAAAAGGATTTTGACATCAGCCGCAGAGTTATTTCTACATCAAGTAAACTAACATTAGTGGTAATTATGCAAGATTATGTAATGCCTGTATCCTGCTACAAATTAAACGCTCCATGTAAATATGACTCATAACTTTAACTGAGGGAGATGCAGCAGATCCTTACCAAAAAGAAATGAGGTGAAAGATCTGCGTCAGCCACATGCAAAATTTAAGGCACCTCTTATAATTTAATCACAGAAGATTTAGAGAGGAGCTTTATCCCTACATGAACTTCTCTGCTTCTTTTGTACACACTGAAGGTCTGTAACTAGGCTAAGTTCCTCTGGCTATTTTAAGTTCATTTAAGAATTAAGCTACTTTCACTACTATTAATAATTATTTAGACTCTTTCCCTCTGATTTAATTTCAATAATTACTTCCTCCAAA